CAGGCTGGAGTCGAACTGCTACAAAGGTAGGTGAATAGCTATCGATCCTTCTCGTTTTACTGTACAGAAATGTGCCAGGTAAGTTGGGGGTCTGTTGACAGCTGTTACCGTCCCCAACTTACCGCATCATCCTGCTTGTCTGCGTCCTCTCAGCGAGACAGTGCACAGTTTGGTTGATGGACATCCTAGCAAACAGGGGAGGACCGTAGCTTGTCACCACACTTCCTCACATTTCTGATTTACTTGCTTTGAAAGAAGATATGTTAAAAGTAGTTGGCACAATGAGTCCCGAACCATAAGACGAGTAGGAGTAATACGCCTGGCAGAAAGGAATTCCCCTGAGTGGGCGCTGCGTAGCGCCTTTTCCGAGGAAGGTACCCCAATAAGGCTCTATCAACCCGACCCGGACGCCCACCGCAGTCGCCCGCCCACAAATGGACGACCGTACCTGATGCTCGTATTGCTTCATTTGCGAAGTAAAATATGAAGCGAAGGGATTGATATGAAGCGGCCGCGGTGCTGCATGGATATATGAGTACATACGTGCAGCCGTATCTACCGTAGCGGTTATTGGCAAGATGCCTACGGGAAACTCGTCCGAAATTGCTTTTTGAGTCATTAAGAAAGAAGGCTTTTTGCAGGTTTTTGACCGTTTCACTTCGCTTTTTCGCCATTTTCCCCACTATGTAGCACCCTGCTAACATTTTAGACCGAGTACCAAATTATCGTGCCATATGCCTTTAACTACAATCTTCTCTTGAAACATACGTTCGGCGCTACTTATCCTTCACTGCCCCAGTCTTCGAAACTCCTGCCAGATTTTGCTCGAAATTTTTCTCTTAGGGTAGATTCGACCGAAACTCTGTAGAGCTAATTTTATACCCTAAACACGGATATCACATTCGTTCGAAACGAACGCCTCGCCGTCAGCCCTGCAGTTCCGCGTCACAGATGGTTCTTGCGGTGCCCATAGTGCACGTACCAGTCGTTTCAGCCACAGGCTAAAGTGATACTCGTGTTAACGGAGGTGACAACACTCGTGGAGCGAGTACCCAGCTATTTTGGTGTTTTGAGGGGTTTTCAGCGGCTCCAACTGTGGTGGTTCTCAGCTAAACCTATCCGATATTCGTTTCAGGGAGAACAAAGTAACCCATGGGACGAAACTTCCAGCCAATTTCCTAGGCAAAATTTCGGTCGGAATCTGACCGGAATCTTGATTTCGCATAGTGTCATATGTGTGAAGTAGAAGTATTTCAGGGAGGTCAAGAACAGCCTCAACCTGTTCACTCTTGCGACATGTATTTTTGTCTGTCTCTTTGGAAGGTCTGATTTTTCATTCAAAAATGTTCACAGTTAGACAGGCGAATACCAACACGGTGAGTTCAGCTTTAGTTCTTCCATCGCTGTGAGGTTGTGGGACACTTCTGTTCCTCCTCGAGCCCGATCGGGTCCTACCTCTAGGGCTCTTTCTAAACGATTCGGCGATTTTTTTTCTCTTCCTTAGTCCCACCTTTGCGAGCCGCGCCTTTCTAGACATGAAACGTAGTAGTTGCTTAGCATATCCTTGCCCAAATCCCTTGACAGGCAGGTCGTTACACTTGACAAGAGTTTACAGGTCTCACCATGATAAGACATGCAATTCAACGGGGACTACCAGAAGAATCTGTCGAACTAGAAATATGCCCCCCCCCCCTCTCATAAAGCTGAGGAGCCCAATGAAATGACCCACCGATATATAAAACATCAGTTGTGTAGTCTGCTTTTCCAGGGTTTATCTGAAGATTGTCGTTATATTTTTTATTGTGAATCTTTGTAATAATTATGCTATAAAATGCGACATTTATTTCCCGCTATTTATTATATTCAAATCGGTGAGTCTTTAACCCAACTGACTTTTTGAACGGGTAATACAGAGGTTTATTTATGTAAATATATTTATAAAACTATTTAGGGTTCTTTATTGGCAAATATTATATTTGGTTTCGTGTTACGAAACCATTACTATACCCGAAAGCAGATATCATCTGTGATAGCTGTCACCTGTGGTATTGTGATATTCACCTTGGCCAGTTATGATCCGACGACAAATCCGAAAACAACAGGACCTGCCTGGTTTTTCTCGATCCAGCCGTTTTTCATTGGTGAGGACATTAATTGTTGTTTTGACAAGAAGAAGAGGCGTGATCTACTGATAGATGCTTTCTTTCCTTACTCATTTATTAACAACGCCTCCCCCCAAGTTTTGGACTTACCACTTTCTTTCACAGTACAGTTTTGTTGGCTGCGGATGAAGGGGCGTGTCAGCAAGGTTGGGTTTGACACGCAGCCAGCTTGTTCAGTTTCTGAGGCGGGTAGGGGACATAAACTGGAGGAGAACGACTGATACGAGCGATTTGATACGGCCCTGTTGCTTATCGAAACAGGAAAAAAGAAAAGAGCTGACGCTGTGTCAACCCTTTACTCCTCTTCCCCCTGACACGCCCCGTCATCCACAGCGAACAAGGTGGTATGTTCACCTCAGTCAAACATACTGATTGTATAGTACCAACACAGCCTCAACCGCAACCGCGCGCGTCACATGGTTGCGCCAAAACCGACTTATTCATAAGAAAAGCCGAACAAATCTCACATGGAAAAGAGGTGCCAGATTTCTCTGGCCTTTGCTTAGAAACAGTAGTTCTGGCCGAAAACGTATGACTTAGGTTCTGATTTCTCGACACTGCCCACCTGGGTCCCCGTCCCATCCATCGTTGGCCTGCCTCCGCTGTGTATCTTGGCGCAGGACCCGCCCATCGCAAGCAACATTGCAGTTGGCCGCAGCGTCGGTTTTGGAGGTGTAGTTTTGACTGGAGCAATGGCAAGCAATTCCATTGATTCCACGCCTCCTGACGCCGCCCGCCGGATTGCGATCTGGCGCCGCCCTGCCGGATTGCGACGATATCATCTTAATTTTCATAAGTGTTCCTAATCACAAGTGCGTTACTTTAGTAAAGACATTCAGGAGTATTTCTTCTCACAGCAGCACTGATGCTCAGTGCATATCTGGGCGTTTGCCAAGAAGATATGTACAGGACTTATGGGAAACATGCTAAGGAATCCATGTTCATGGTGGTGAGTTCTTTGTTGCTCAGAGAGCATTGTGATTAGGAATTTTCCAAAATCATTTTCTATCCTTACACGTGACTAGAGTAATGGGGGGGCAGGGGTGCCTGGAAAAGTCAAGCATCAAAAAAAATTCGTACACATACACGATTCCCTTGCAATCCAGCTCACGAATTAAACCAGCGCATGACTTGCAGACGGGACTATAAGATGACTTTGAAGGAAGGTCTTCTATGAGAGCGGGGAATGTCATCTCAGATGATTTTTTAAGGTTGCGGTTCACATTTTTTCCTTTTTCAGCATTTTCTGTCAATTCCTGGATACGCACTGCTGGGAGACGAAATCATTGAAGCATTCTATGCTGCGAATCGTACACCTTCGATGAACATTCTTGGCTACGATTTGTTATTGCCTACAGCATGGGGTTACATTTTAGGGATCTGTGTACTACAGTAAGTTTCCTGTTACTTTTTGCAGCGCAATTAGGCGACCGAAAGGGGGGAGGACATTATGCACTCTCGCTGCCTCTCATGTCAAGTTCTCTGCTTTACGGGGTTTACAAGAAGTTTTATACAATACGTTTGAACTGCGTATTACCTTGTTGACTTCGCCAGATTTCATAAATCTCTACTTGATGGCTCGAGGCGACAGTGAGAAGCGCAAATGTAAAAAAAGCGCCCCCGCCCCTTTCGTCACCCGACTGCGCCTTTTTCTTTTTGCTGTCTTCATCATGGAATGGAATAATCGCTGAAAGTTGTGAATTGATTCATTGATCACGCTGAGCTGACCTTATGGAGGTATCTAATCTTGCGGGGTGTGCTTCGTTATGACCACGCTTCTCTGGAGATCGTGATTCTAACAGTGAATTGTCTGCAAGGACGCAGCCGCTTACTACTCATTATTTGTGAAGTGACGGCCTACTGTTTGCTGCTTTTCCTTATTGAGTTCGCGTCTTCTCTCACCTGTGTTGAGAAAGGCGAAGCACCCAATAAGAAAGGCATAAATGGTAGGCCGGGACCCCGCCACCACACGAAAAAAACAGCAAAGCGGCTGCGCGGTTATTCGTCTCGTTTTGGTGGCAGTCCTGGTACCTAGTGAAGCGCATTTTCCATAATTCGCCTCAAATCTCATCTCCTGCTTATTGAAAACTGGGCGCCATTCGCTTTGGTGGGGACACATTAATAGAGCAAATTGTACTCGTAGCCTAAAGGCTGACGCCCGGTATTCAAAAATTTGGCGAGCTATGCGGCTTAAATACTTTATAATATGGCAGCAAGTAACCCATTAGTGGAGGAAAATCAGGTAGAAATTATAGGAAAGGCTCTATACAGAACCCCTTGCTTAATTGAGATTGTACGTGCTGAAGGCGAAGAGAAGATAGGTCGCAACGAGTTCTTCACTTGTTGATTATCAGCTGTTTTCTCTTGATCACCCTCACTCCTCTAACCAATCGACGTGGAGAGAAGTAAGAAGCAAACAACCGCACCATCAAGATAACCATCGAAATGAATGGAGGGCGGTGGCCAATGATTGTAGGTTGGGCCAATGAGAAGAACGACGGCATCGTGGGCCTCCTCACTCGTTTTTGCGCCGCGAAAGTGGTGCCGTTGTTGCCTCTGCGGACCTGACTACCTGCTCGCTTGCACGAGGCAGAGGAAATCTGGCCGTGAAACGCGGACGCTGCTTTAACTAGGAATTTAGCAGGCCGTAAGAAGGTGGAACCTATTACTCATGCTACTATCAAAGTTATGAAATAACGAAAGGAGCAAGCGAAAAGTGCCTCCTCCAAATCGAACAAGCCCCACAACTGATTTAGATCCACGCGATTATGTTGACACTACGGTGCAGCTGGCTGGGACGCTTGGAAATACACTGGCAGAGTTAGCGCAGCTGCTTGGGGTGCTGCTCTTCCCGAGGCCCGTATATTAGGGGTTTACGCCTTCTTGCACTCTCAGAGTGCTAGTAAAGGCACTCATAAAGGGCGATGAAAACGGTGCTATCATAAGCCCCGCGAATCAATGTGCATGCCATACTCACCTCTAAATGGAACCCGAATGCAAAGGCAAATGTGTGTCGGAGCAGCAAGAAAGGTATTCTGTACGGGTCCGGAAATCTATTTGTGCTGCGTTGCGGCCGTCACGCCGTTTGCATGAAACTAAAACATCAACCAGCTGCGCGTTCGACATTGCTTTCACGCGATGCCGCTACGTGGACTTCCTAGCCCACATCCCGAAAGTGTTCAAAGGCAGTTGGCACGATGATTTGGTGCTCGGCCTAAAATGCTAGTAGGGCGCTATATAGTGGGGAAATGGCGAAAGAACGGAGTGAAACGGTCAAAATCCTGCGAAGAAAGAGCCTCCGTTCTCAATGTGTTAGAAATCAATTTAGAAACCAATCCCTTCGCTTCATAATTTGCTTAGCAAATGAATCGATTAGAGCGTCAGGAACGGTCGTCCATTTGTGGGCGGGCGGGCGTGGCGGGCGTTTGGGTCGGAATGTTGTGGCTTGATAGGGCCCTTATAAGGGCACCTTCCTTGGAAAAGGCATTATGCAGCGCCTGCTCAGGAATTCCGTCCTGCCAGGCGTATTAATCCTACTCGTCTTGGGGGATTTATCGTGCCAACTGCCTTTAACAGTTGGCATACTGTCTATCCTTTCTCTCTGCCTTCTATAAGAATGTGTTTTTATAGATACATCTGCATTAACAATGTCTACCGTCTTACTGCCTTGACCACATCTTTGAATGTGACGATGGTGATTACCCTTCGAAAGTTCCTGTCGTTGGTCGTCTCTTTCGTTGTATTCGGGAATCCGTTCAATATTTGGCATTTCGTTGGCGCTACTTTTGTATTTATAGGCTCCCTGATATTTTCTAATGTTATATAACTTGCTGAATATTCAGTTCATTTGATTGTATTTTGAACTTTTTCCACTTCCATGTAATGACGCTAGTGGCTTACGTGTGGGTCAGGAGACCCGCGTTGCGGTAACGCGGCATTGTTGGCTGCGTAGCACACTACGCATTCGCACTAGGGCTTATTTTATGAACATGAAAGTGCTACACTTTCATGTCCATAAAATAAGAGTGTGGCGCGTTAACTCGCTAGGAAATACAAACTGCCGGCGCTGTTCGGCTTGGGAGGACATTTTGCACTTTAGCCAGTTTTTTTTTGCTGGTTCACATTAACTAACAAGGGTAATTTCGGTGAGACCTGTGAATTCTTGTGAAGCTGCGGAATTGTAAAAGTGAACACTTTGGTGACAGAATTTACAGGTCTTCACAAGGTGACCTGTACAGGCTCCGTTGAGTGTAACTTGATGCCCCCAAGCCAAACAGCCTACTTTTTGCGCGCCGTCGCAACGTGGATCTCCTGCCCCTCTCCCGTATATCCGTATATCGTTCAGCTAATTTATGTAGGCTTGTATTCTAGAATAAGGGTATTTGAGGCGGCACTGTGCGTCGGGCGGAGGCGTCCATACGTACATGTGTTTCTGACGCTGTGCCAGCCTATTTCCTGGTTGCCCCTCCCATAGCGGCAACGACCTGAAAAAGAGCTGGTTTTGCGCCTAAAGGTACTTACGCAGAAACGCCTCCTAATGACTCAAAGTCTAGTCTATTGAAACTCCTCACATGCGCGCATATCAAATAGCTCTGTGATCCACAATGTGACCCTATAAGTGACCAAAATTCTCGTGAGTCTGATCTTTATAAGCGCCTTCCCTACCGGTAACCAAAATTCTATTACTTGACTTTGTCATACTGTAACTGTGCGAATGTAATTATTTGTATTTTTACCCTATTTGTAGCTATTTTACATCAGTCGTTTTAAAATTCGATAAAAGTGTCATTTTTGAACAAGAGCTAAGGGAGGTCTGTAAGCTGCAGTTGACATACACCAAGCAGTCAATCGGGGCGGTGTTCGGTTGGGCGGGAGTGTGCCCGTCCCCGATGTGTTTCCGACCAAACAATAGTGATCGTTAGTGAACACAGGAAGGAGAAAAAAAACACTGGTAAGAACACGGCAAAGGACGGGCTCATTCCACCACCGCGCCTCCCGACTCCGCCTCTACTGATGCGACACATATCAGTGTAGCTAAGTGCTGCCTATGAGATTGAATTAGCAAAATTAAGTTTGTTTGCTTTTCCTACTAAAGGTACACTCGGCAGCTGCCTGAGAGCTGAATCCTGGCTGAGGTCAGCGTTTGCAACTTCACAGGGTATACCGGTTTTTCCACCTGTTCAGATGGCCAGGGACTAGTAACTCTGTGAAGCGTTGCCTCCGTGATGATGCCGAAGGCTAATTGGCCCAAACGAAGTTAAAGAACAGACATTAAGTAACACAACGAAAACCCTCAGAGATCGACAACGACTTGCGTATCGACATTCTCAAGTTTGGCTGATTTTCAACTTTTTCCCCCGAATTGGCGACAATGATCAAAATAATGACGACCCACCCACTCCCACTTTGACTATGGGAGGAATGGGAGTCGTCAGCAATAAACTCCAGTGCTCATTGCAAAAGCGGTTGGATTAGATAATGGTTCTACCGGGTCCGTCAGCAGAATCTACAGGGGGTGGGGGGGGGGGCAAAAAAAAGTCACTTTGCCTTCATTGACTTTCGAGGCGCTATAAGTTACACTATTAAAATTGTGATCGAACATTTCTACCACCATATTAAATCGAGGCATATTATGATGCTACAGATCAGCGAGATAGTCGATTTCTCCGCCACCGTAGACCACCCTATTGAACTCCGCCCGAAACCGGGTAATTGAGGGGATTCAGGTCAGGTGACCTACTTGGATATTATCACCGCATCTTAGGTATTCAACCCCCCTTCCATTCCCAAGTAGGGGCGGAGAGTTTCTTCTCCAATGCCCCATTCATTCCAAATGTCGTGGCACGCCCAATGCTGTAGCAGTACAGAGTTCCCAAGACAGGTACAACGACGACATGTGAGAAGAGTATTCTTACAGAGATTTGCTTATCGTCAGAGCGCCGGCAGCGCCTCATCTTCAGTCTGGGCCCACAAAGAAAATATTGGTCTTTCCATTTCAGGTACGTCCGGTCCATACCATGGACCCGCGCCTTGGGCGACTGTGGTGAAGATGATGTCCTAGACCGTAGCGACGTTGTCGGAGCTGCTCGATGTTGGAGGTCTTCCAGATCGAGAGTACTGGTCTCCAGGTAGCTATCCATGGTGACTCCATACTAGAAGTTTCGCAGCTGTTTGGAGGTGACATGAATTCCAAAGGTCTTCTCCAGTCAGGCTGCGACTGGAGATGACTTCATATTTTGGTGTACATGAGCTGATGGGCAAGAGCCTGCTCACTTTGCTTATCGAGGACCAATCTTGATTATCTCAACCGCCCTGGTACTCGTAATCCGTACTCGTCCACATTCCTCTGTCTAGCCACATGCGAAATAACTTTTGCTGATATGTTGACTCGGTCGA